TATAGTTTATATAGGGAAATAACACTTTTCGGTATATATTTTATCCATTTTCAGCAGAAAATTACTCAAACTTAGTCAGAATCATCTTGGGTGAATGAGAGTATTACTTTGTAAAATTGGGATTCCTGCCCCATCCCCAGGGGCTAGGGCGGGGCCCCAAAGGGAACATTTACCAATATTTTCAAATTCTTATCCATTGATGACATGACAAGTATTGTATTTCACTTAGTTTACATGCTGATTTCCACATCACATCTAAACAATAAAATAAAGCTACCAGTACCTATGATATAACTCAGGTGACCGCTAAGGCCCTTGGGCCTCTTGTTATTTATGTCTTCCGACGAAACGGCTGCGTTTTATTATATATCAACATTGTTTTCATTCTGACTCTAGAACTAACTAAACTGTCCTGACCTTTCCCGATACCTCTACATGTCACTTACACATCCGCCTTATTGTTTTCTCCGGACCATGCAGTATAATTGTCTCGTCAAACAGGATTATAGCAAGTTAATTTTCGGTTGATCTAAACATTATCGCACTAATAATGAATTTCGCCCAAACGAATTTATTTAAATAATTGTCCTGATACAAATGATATCTTCCTCAATAAAACGAACACAATTTGTCATGATTAAGCTGATTGCCTCGTCACACCCAGTCAGGAAGTAATTGGTTGCTTTACTTACTGGGAACGAAAATGTCTAGATTATCTTCCGTCAATGAAGGTGGCTGGGTTGCTGGATCATCCACTGGAAAAGTTTGTTAATAGCAAGTACAACGGTGTTTGGTTTATCTGTTGGGACCGAAGGCGGATACATTTTCTACTAGGAACCAAGATGGCTGAAATTTCGACTGAGAGCGAATGTGGCTTAATAACTCACTTAAAACAAAATAATGCTGAATGATAAACTTCCAGCCAAGTGACAGGATTATCTTCAGGAAAGAAAGGTGGCTGGATTATCGTCAGGAAAGAAAAATGACTGGATTACCGACTGAGATTGAAGGTGACTCCATTATCTTCAGGGAGTTTGTTTTGTTAAGTTCAATGAAATATCATCTAGGAACGAAGCTGGCTAGATTGTCGACTTGGAGTGAAGATGGCTAGATTATCGACTTGGAGTGAAGATGGCTAGATTATCAACTTGGAGTGAATATGGCTAGATTATCGACTTAGAGTGAAGATGGCTAGATTATCGACTTGGAGTGAAGATGGCTAGATTATCGACTTGGAGTGAAGATGGCTAGATTATCAACTTGGAGTGAATATGGCTAGATTATCGACTTGGAGTGAATATGGCTTGGTTTTCTTCCGATAACGATGATTTATTTTTAATGAAAGCAGCTGGATGACGAAGGTGGCTTGATGTTTTCTGTAAAGGAAGTAAGCTTGATTGCCTCCCGGGAGGGACAGTTACTGTATTATCTATAACAGCAAAGATGGCTGATTTACCTACACGGAGGGAAGATGGCTTCAGTATCTACTAGGAAAGTTGATCCATCGTCGGGGTTCCAATACGATGTTTAAACATATCATTTTAAAGGAGACGATACTTCTTACAACAGTAAGTCGCACTCTAACCTTTTCTGTGTTCTCGTTTTTAGCAATCGAGTTTGACTCTGGAGAAGCCTTCACAGCCATAGACCCGTCAGTAGTGGCTGATGCGAGTAATTATGCGGACCCGAAAGTTACAGGTAAATTAAATTTCTCATCCGAAACATAATACAATTATTGTTGAAAAAGGATATTCGTTCGTTGGTCATTGTTTCATACAATGATAAATTGTATTTCATATTAGACAACATGACTTTAGTATATTGATCGAATCTAGTGTCTGTAACCAGCTTCTACCTACTCATTTGATGTGCTCCTGTTACACTCCTTAGGTTCCTACTTGTTCCAGTCCGATACAACATTTGATCAGAAGGCACTGTCCCTGAGCGTTCTGGTACAACACTTCCGGTCGGACAGCTCCTTCTATTTCCGTGCACATCCGACATTTATCACCTGTTTGCAGGCGACGTTAACCAGTTTAAGGAAACAAAACCTACGAGTAGGTATCACTATCAACATATAAACATCAGTCAGGCAATACCTAGACGATTGTGTAGTTGACCCTTTCATCTGATTTTCTTGTGGTCAATAGGTCTGGGCTTCACAGTCCTTATATTTACAGTATGTCTGGGCTTCACAATCCTGATATTTACAGTATGTCTGGGCTTCACACTCCTTATATTTACAGTATGTCTTGGCTTCACAATCCTTATATTTACAGTATGTCTGGGCTTCACAATCCTTATATTTACAGTATGTCTGGGCTTCACAATCCTTATATTTACAGTATGTCTGGGCTTCACAATCCTTATATTTACAGTATGTCTGGGCTTCACAATCCTTATATTTACAGTATGTCTGGGCTTCACAATCCTTATATTTACAGTATGTCTGGGCTTCACAATCCTTATATTTACAGTATGTCTGGGCTTCACAATCCTTATATTTACAGTATGTCTGGGCTTCACAATCCTTATATTTACAGTAGGTCTGGGCTTCACAATCCTTATATTTACATTTCTACTGTGAGTTCCTCTATGAGCATGGACTAGAATCAGATCAACGTCATTTCGAAGCTTCTCCTCTCGCCTCCAATAACATTAGACAGCAAACATTTTGATGACATTAGGCTGTTCCAGGAATCTCGACTGACGACATAAACACTATAATATCAGAAATATCTGTATTCAGGTCAATAATAAGTAAAAAAAATAAAAAAATAGAATGTAATTATAAGTGTTTTCCAATTTCATGCTGGTATGAACGCCAATCGGTTACATACATATTCCATGAAGCCCGCTAGGGCTTGAATATCGCGCTGATATCATGAATGGAAACGCTGTTGTATGAACATTTTCTTGTAAATTATCATTTTTAGGTGGACATTGTGTCAGCATTTAAAACGAGTTCTGATGTGCCAGGTAGTATAAAGGCTCGGGACTTGTACTCTAGAAGTGGCACTGGAGCAACACTCAAGTTCCGACCGGGAGTGTCCGGGGACATCCGCGATATTGCCAACACCGCCATCAAGTCGTGCGCCTCCACATTCTCGGTAATTCTACTATGTCAGAGAATGATGCATAGTGTCTCGCACTTTTGATCTAATAAGACCTGCTGATCGCGTTGACGTTTTACACATCAACTGATTTCAACTAGAAACTACCAGACAGCACTCTATGCGTTCTATGTACAACCACTGCTTCAATCAAGTATATTTAAACTTAAATATTTATGTTTAAACCATATTTGTCTGATTTGCTTTTCATCCACAAGGGCGCAATAAAACGTACCAGACATTATATTTTGCTTTAAACAGAAACAAAAAATGTGTTGTTTTTGTGTAATTGTGGAAATATTGGGGATAATCTTATTTCCGTGTTTATGTTTAAGAAGAATATTTAACATTATCTGATTTCTATGTAAATAATATAAGTACTGTTATTTGTCTGGCTTTTGTGTTACGTTAGATGAGTATTAATATGACCAGGTTTCTGTTTGTTAGTTACAAGAGTATAAATACTAACTGTTTTCCCTGTATGTGTTTTAAGGTGATCCAACGCGATATTGGTGTGGTGCTGATGCTAGACTCTGTCCACATCTTTATGACAGGACGCCTGGATACGACCCCGCAGTTCACAGTTGACGGATACACCGGGGGGATGACCAGCGATGCCTTCCGTACTTACGCCATGGCAAAGCTAGGGGAGGCTAACGGTACGTTGTTCCGCGAGTCCGCTCCGTGTGTCGAACTTTCTTATTTACCATTTAATGCAATCAATACTTTAAACGTGTCCACGTCCTGTATGATGTTCGGTTCTCTTCACTAGAGCCGGCTGTTATTCCCACGGACTGCAGTTCTTTCGGAAGCCTACTCAGTGGCACCACGTTCCCTTCTTGGGCCACGGATGCCGCGGTCGTAGTGGGCGATCACGACGTCCCGATCCTCAGAGAAAACACCCAAGATTTCAGCAGGTAAGGCTTCATCAGGCAACATTAAATGGCAATACGTTCTGCCTGATACCATTTTATCTTAAAAAAATACTTTTGCTTTTACGGGTTCTTTATTACGAAGAATACAGCCTGTGTAGTTTTTTTGTCTGACAGAGAAGATTGCTAAACATGATTGTTCGACACAATGGTTGTATTGCTATAGGACTTTGTTTGTTTGTTGTTTTTTTTTTATAAATCAGACTTACACAGTATATGGGGACTAACGTGGAGTTTGTGGATCATGAACGAACGTCTACCTGGTGTGGATCTGTTGGCCAGGCCTGTGTTGACTGTCGGGCGGGCATTGTGGGAAGTGCGCTTTCAAAACGGTATGTATCAAAAGGAAGTTTGTTATGTGTTTGTGTCAGTTGTAATGTGAGTTAGTGCCTCTCACAATGTAAGAAACTTTATGAAACCAATGAAGGGCCCTTTTAAGATATAATGTATTGTAAGGAATACCACTCACAGTGTTAGGAACGCAAAGAAGGTGCCTTCTCACCTATATGAAGTACTATGAGGAAGTGTCCTGTTACATCTAAGGTACGTACAGGAGTAGTCACTCACATTAGGTGGTGCTAGCAGAAGGGTCCACGCAATGCCAGGTATTGTTAACAAGTTATCTGTAACAATGGTAGATGCTTTTTCAATTTCGTCGTTCAAGGATAGGTGCTCTGTCGCAGTGATGAGTGCTATTAGAAAGTGCCTCTATACATTCTGGTTGTATTACCTTGTGTAACTGGTATTACACGTTGACATTATTACTATTATATTTGCCACAGGTGTGCAGCCCGGACGATGAGTTATCGGATGTACAAGGTCATCAACACTCTACAGAAGTTTGTCAGACACAACATGACATTAACAGGNAATATAGAAATCACTCATCTCAAATGTTAGATCTGTAAGGAACAAACTTGATATAGTTGATTCTGAGTTGCACTTTAATGACATTATTTGCTTAACAGAAACTTATCTAACACCGGATATTCCCGATAATGATATTATGCTAGACTCATTTCCAAATGAACCATACAGAAAAGACAGACAGAGTAGGATGGGGTGGTGTTTTGATATATTATAAAAATACTGTTCAGACTAAAAGAGTATTAGACCTGGAGCATGATGATATCGTTCTTATTTGGATCGAAGTGCATACTGTTAATCACAGATTTGTATTAGGGTGTATATATAGACCGGAATCTAATGTAGAATACTGGACACAACCTGATATTCTATTGGATAAAGCTGTTGATACCTCACTAGACATAATCTTAACAGGTGACATAAATATTATTATGTTAAATCTACATCCTAACTCACATCTCAGCAGAGTTCCAATTAAATATAAGAATCACTCCTTATAGTTCATCCTCTATAGATATTGTCTTTACTAATTATACTAGAATCATGCAAAATGCATGTACAAGGAGGGGGAAATCCATTAATTTTAATGTATAAGATATTGCATAATACATCACCAAAGTACCTTAATGATATAGCAGATCATTTTTTAAATGATTTAACAAATGTGAGGTATCAGCTTAGACTAAATAGAGTTTTTAATCCCACGGTATGTAGAACTGAAAGCTACTTTAATAGTTTCTTTCCCTCAACCTTTCGACTTTACAATCAGTTAGACCCAATGGTGTTAAAGTTCAACGATTACATTCAGTCTTGTTCCGCCCTTCAATCTACTGAAGGCGAGGTTGATGCTCTTGTTGAAGCATACACATCTGCTATAGAAGCCCTTATAGAGAAACACGCACCTCTACAAACTAAGGTGATAACTGTGAGACCAAATGCCCTGTGGTATAAAGAAAATCTCCGGGTAGAAAAACAGAACCGTAGAAAAGCAGAAAGACAGTGGCGACGGACCAAATTAACCGTTCACCAACAGATTTATAGGGAGCAATGTCGGCTAGTTGGTTCACTACTCTTTCAGTCAAAGAAGGCTTATCATTCGGAAAGAATCGAGGAATGCGGTAAGGATAATAGACAGATTTTTAGACTCACCAAAAACCTAATGGGACAGAAAGGTGAAATTATCCTACCAAGCTGTAATCTTGAAAAAGACTTAGCAAGCAAGTTCAGTGATTACTTTCTGAATACAATCAGCTCAATCAGGAAAAATATTGCCGAAGTGAACTCCTCTGTTGACATTTACATCTCTGTCATGACTGCTGCCATTGCATTTGATGGGGAACCATTGGCAAAGCTCTCACCAACAACCCAGGACGAGTTGGGCAACATTACCATGACCTCACAATCGAAGTCCTGTGAGCTTGATCCACTGCCTACATACCTATTAAAGCAATGTATTGAAGCACTGCTTCCCTTGATTACCTCAATCATGAACAAATCATTAGCTGAGTCAAAGGTTCCATGATGTTCAAGAAGGCACATGTCAGACCATTGTTAAAGAAGCCTGGAATGGACAACGAGGAGTTGAAAAACTACCGCTGCCTTTTCTGTCGAAGATCTTGGAGAAGATTGTGTCCCGGTGTTTAGAGGTTATCTCCATGCAAACAGTCTCCATGACAACCTGCAATCAGTCTACCGCATGGAACATTTTACTGAGACGGCCCTCCTACGTGTACATAATAATATAGCTTTTGCATTGGATAACAAGTGTAGAGCGGTGCTTGTCCTGCTGGACTTGCCAGATGCATTTGACGTCATCGATCATGGCATACTTTATAAACGTCTGGAATACTGTTATGGAGTGACTGATATCGCACTATTCCGGATACACTCTTACCTGATTGAAAGACGACAGTGTGTTGCCATCGGATCTTCCAACTCACACGACAAAGTACTAGATTTCGGGGTTCCTCAAGGGTCGGTAGGACCACGAAAATATTGTATGTAATCCAAACCTATTGGAGAGATTTGTCGTCGCCATAGCCTTCGCTATCATTGCTATGCCGATGACACACAAATGTACATGGTCATCAAACCACAGGACAGTTGGAATACAGTCCCAGAAAGTCTGGAAGCTTGTTTGACAGATATCAGTATCTGGATGAACGCCAACATGCTTAACATTAATCAGGAAAAGACGGAACTTATCGTCATTTCCCCAAAGTGTCAGGAAACAATGGCTCTCCAGCTCAAGGTCGATGCAAGAACTATTGAGACTGTTCCAGCTGTTAAAAATCTAGGGGTATACTTTTATAGTTCACTGAACATGGAGAAATAAGTGAACGCTTTTGCCAAATCCTGTTACTACCGGATCAGGAACATCGGCTGTATTCGGCAGTTTATAACTGCAGATGCATGCAAGATGGTGGTGCATTCACTTGTTACCTCTCGGTTGGATTATGGTAACGCCCTGCTCTGTGGTATATCTGATAAACTAACTAGTCGCCTGCAGACGGTCCAGAACACTGCAGCACGGCTAGTTACTCGTAATCGAAGAGAGAGCACATCACGCCTGTGCTTTATTCGTTGCACTGGTTACCTGTACGATACAGGTGGCAGTACAAAAGTCTGGTGTACACATACAAGGCACTGCATGGAACAGCTCCTCATGATCAGTACCTACAGGAGCTTGTTACCCTGTATCAGCCGTCACGATCACTGCGGTCGGAGTCAGAATCTTTGTTGTGTGTCCCAAAATCTCGTACTGTGACCTACGGAAACAGATGATTTGGGGGGGTTTCGGCTACGTTGTGGAATAGCTTACCATCTGCTATTAGAAAGTCAAATACCCTGGCCAAGTTCAAGAGGGACATAAAAACTCACCTCTTCACGTCTGCATTTTAGAATCTTTGCAAAGACGTCATGTAAATACCACCCTTTTATTTGTTCAATTATGTGCACATTGCTTG